TGGCACACCGTCTCATGTCTATCCCTTCGGGGACATCACAATCTACTCCACCCCTTTGGGGCCAAGTGTCTTTACTGGCACACTGTCTCATGTCTACCCCCTTCAAGGAACAGCGAGAAGGCTGGCACATCGTTCGGTGTCTGACTTTGATACCATTTTGTAATGACCCAGATCTACCGCTAGCAAATATTATCCTCTTTGAGCTTTCCCTTTTGGGCTTCCCCCTCAAAGCTTTAAAACGTGTCGGCTAAGGGAAGGTTTTCGCACCCTTATAAAGTTGATTTGTTCTCCTCCGTAGCTAGACATCACATATACCCATAAATTTTCAGCCTTTAAACTTTTTTAAAATTTTAAATTTCACATTTAAATTTTAAAATTATAAAAGCAAAAATAATTAATAATATATATATATATTATTTTGAAGCGTTCAAATTAATATTAAATATATTAAAAGAGAAAAATATATTTACTATATTCGATACATTAAATATTAAAATAATAAATTTAGATACATTAATTTAGCGTCATTGTTGATGACCAAACTTGAGTTTCTTGAATGCTCTCGTGCAAACCTAACCGATCATTGCATAAATAAACAGACCCATATACCAGTTATGTCTGTTAGTGAAACCGTCAAACGTGGAAGCTGTAGTTTCCAGGGTTTGGAGCTTATGGGTTGAGTTGCTCCGAGAAATCTCGTTTCTTGCTCGTCCAATTAGAGAGGTGCAGACTCGTAACGATAGATGATATATGAGAGTAGTAAGAAAATTCGTTGAGTGGTTTTTTTTTCTTTTTGTAAAGTTAAGATAAGGACTTGGACCAATCTAAAGACGTGTCAGTTGAGTGAACATTGTACTGGTTCGAGGATAAATATACTACTTGGAAAAAAGAATATCATGATTCGCTTCATGTCGGGGAGCAAATCACTAATCAATTGACCATATTAAACTAGTTCGGTTGGTTGGTTGGATGTTAAGAAAATATAAAGATTAATCGTTTCGAACGGTAAATATTTCAAGATATAATTGATACGTTAGGGCGTTCTTTATATTTTGTCTAAATATTTATGACACTCACCTCTAGTAGATATTGTCTGCTTTAACCCTTATGTATTACCGTCAGCTTCACGATTTTAAAACGCATCTGTTAGAGAGAGGTTTTCACGCTCGTATAAGAAATGTTTCGTTCCTCTCCCCAACTAATGTGGAGTAACAACTTCACTAGTACACCACCAAATGTCTGCCACTATTACTTCTGAATTAAAAAATATATATATATAGAAATTACCCAAATCCTTATTTTTTTTTAATGAAAAATATTAATATTTTATTTCAAAACATTTTAAAAATATTTTTAAATTTTCAAAAATTTTATTAATATCCTTGAACTGTTTTTTTAATATTTTTTAATTCTGAATATTAATAAAAATTTAAAATTTAAAAATATTTTTAAATACTTTAAAAAGTTTTATTAAAATTTTTGAAAATTTATTATTTTTTATAGATATTTTTATTAATTTAATTTTGAATTTATAATTTGAATTAAATAAAATAATAATAATTATAGATTTTATGATAATAGAGAGGTGGAATATGAATATTTTATCCCAACCATATCTCAAAAAAAAAATATATATATATATATATATTATGATGGCAAAAAAAAAAAAAAAAAAAACCTTTTTGTGTCTAGTCCATGTCAGAGGGGAATCCAAAAATAAAGTTTCAAATATTATTTTGATTTTATTCTTTTTTTTTTTTTTTGTATTTTTAAATATTTAATTTATTTGATGTAATTAAAAAAATGTAACGAAAAAAAAACATAATAATTAAGGGTGATAATATTTTTATTCATATTTTTGTATTTCGAGATTTGTGAGATCTCATATCGAAGAGGGGAACGAAACATTTTTTATAAGTGTGTGAAACATCCCTTTAGTAAACGTGTTTTAAAACTGTGAGGCTGACGTCGATACGTAACGGATAAAAACAGGCAAATGGTATTAGAGGCAAACATCGAATAGTGTGCTAATGAGAACGTTGGGGCTCGAAGGTGGTGGATGGATTGTGAGATCGGTGTACCATCAAAGACGATAGGACTCTGCCCCCCTCTCGGAGTGGATTGAGGCTGACGACGATACGTAACAAACCAAAGTAAAAGGTATCGACTAGTGGTGATCTTACAAGTTTCTCGTAGAAACAAAAATTTGTTCGATAACTATTTATTACTTTATAAGACGTTTTAATAGTTGATTCACTGCTAATCTAGAATGACTTTTGTAATCAATTCAGTAAAGCGGTTTTGAAAATTTGACCGAACAGAGAGGCTCGTTCATTCCCATATAAAGAGAGTAAATCAGTAATTTCATTAAATGTTGATTTTGACCCGGTTATAATTATGAATAATTTACTTTCCACATTTTATCTAACTGAAATGGACGTTGTTCTTATCCAATCGAACCCATTTTCATTTAAAATAAAAATCCCGATAATATATATATATATATATATATATATATATATATATATGAGAAATTAAAATGCATGATTATATATTGTGGAATATGTGCAAATTTTTACTTTAATTTGTAAAGAAAAAGAAAAGATGTGATTCTCATTCTCTAGCGTTCTCTTTAATAATGAACATAAGGTAATATTTCACCAAAGAATATAATCCATTTGAAAAAAAAAATCATTTATTTACTAAATTGGCACGTTGGCTCGGTGTAATAGCTCAAACTCACAGCTTATATTGTCCGTTTTGGCCCGTTACGTATCGGGTCTGATTTTAAAATACGTCTACTAGGGAGAGGTTTCCACACCCTTATAAGGAATGTTTTGTTCCCCCTTCAACCGATGTGAGATCTCACAATCCACCTCTTTGGGGCCTAGCGTCCTCGTTGACGCGTCCTCGTTGGCACATCGCTCGGTGTCTAGCTCTAATAACATTTGTAACAACACAAACCTACTGCTAACAAATATTGTCCACTTTGACTCGTTACGTATCGTCGTTAGTCTCACGATTTTAAAATGCATCTACTAGGGAAAGGTTTCCACACCCTTATAAGGAATGTTTTGTTCCCCCTTCAAACCGAGGTGAGACCTCACAATCCACCTCTTTAGGGTCTAGCTCTAATAACATTTGTAACAGCACAAGCCTACTGCTAACAAATATTGTCCACTTTGGCTCGTTACGTATCGTCGTCAGTCTCACGATTTTAAAACGCATCTACTAGGGAAAGGTTTCCACACTCTTAAGGAATGTTTTGTTCCCCCTCTAACCGATGTGAGACCTCACAATCCACCTCTTTAGGGTCTAGCGTCCTCGTTGGCACATCGCTCGGTGTCTAGCTCTAATAACATTTGTAATAGCCAAGCCTACTGCTAACAAATATTGTCCGCTTTGGCTCGTTACGTATTGTAGTCAGTCTCACAATTTTAAAACGCATCTACTCTTATAAGAAATATTTTGTTTCCTTCTCCAACGGTATTGGAATTGTAAATTTTTTCCTCATAATGTTTCGAGTTCGTTGAATCACAACGTTTGGTTTGAATAACTACTACTTTTTTTGGTTTCAGTCGTTAAACTATAGTTTTTGTCTACTTATCGTTGAACAGGCTTCTGAATTTTTAATTTTATGTCTAATAAATCGCTAATTTATTCAAAACGGTAAAAGTTAATCGATTAATCTCGGCTATAAAACTGCAAAATAAGTCAGGTTTTCAATCACGAGCTCACAAGCTCAATAAGATTTTTTGTGATATCTCTTTTTTAAAGTTACTTTTTCTTTAAAGTATATTCTCACAAATAGTCTATTCTCAGTTCAAATTTATATTTAAAATATTATAACGGGTTTGAGTATCATATGACATCATTAGAGTATTAGTCAGCGGTGCTCATCGAAGTTTTCATCAAAGTTAGTCGTCAACGATGTGCATAGGACACGGCTTCAAAGGTTGTCGCTAGAGGTAGTTATCAGAGTTGATCATGCAATGGTGGTTGCTAGAGTTATCGTTGGAATAGTTTCTAGACTCGAGTCATTGGTGGTGCTATGGTGATCGCTAGCGAGCCCGTTAGTGTGAGAATATTTCGGTCAGTTTCATAAATCAAACAAGACTTGTTCAAATGACTCGATAACTAGATCACCTCGGATTACCTAACCCAAACCATTAAGATTGGGTCGATTTTTTTTTTCTTTCTAAAATTTGGGTTGGTAGGCAGGTTGACATTTTTTTTATCCCGTCAATCCAACGAACCCAAAAATATGGTTACAACCTAACCCTACTCTACTTTTAAGATTATTATCTTGATTAAGAATATTTGACTTTTGTAATCGATAGCAGTGACACATTGTGAATGATTGATATTTAAAATTAATAATAATAAATAAAAAAAAACAACGTGACAACCCAACCTAACCCAAAAATAAATGATTTGAGTTCGGATGTAAACTCTATTCAGATCACTCAGGCCACTAACTCAATCGATCCGCAGATTGGTTTAAAAGATTTCTCCAACCCAACTCATATATACACTCGTAAACCAAACCGACCCAAATTTATAGGGCAACAACCTGACACAAGAAATATATATATATGTGATGTCCCACATTGGTTGGGGAGAAGAACAAACCACCATTTATAAGGGTGTAGAAACCTTCCCCTAGCAGACGCGAGGGGAAGCCCGAAAGGGAAAGCCCAAAGAGGACAATATCCCCTAGTGGTGGATCTAGGGTCGTTACAAATGGTATCAGAGTCAGACATGCCAGCTTTCTTGTTCCCCGAAAGGGTGGATTGTGATGTCCCACATTGGTTGGGTTAGCGGTGGATCTAAGCCGTTACAAATTGTAACGGCCTAGATCTACCGTGCTTTTCAAGTGAAAGAATAAAAAATAATAATAAAAAAAAAATTATCCAATCAATTATTCCTTCATTCCATAAAGCGTACGTAAATTTGTATATAAATATCCCCACCATTTTGCTTATCAGAAATTCAAAGCGGAGAGGTTTCACGATGCCTTTCTACAAGCAATACAAAGGGACCAAAACAAAGCCAACTGGTTTGGTTGGCTATGTCTTCCACCGGGACTATGCTATTTCTCCACACAACGTTGCTTTGTTGGTGCACGAGAACCCCGGCCCCGACACAGCGGTGACTCGGGACTCCTTGACTCAGTTCGATAACCTATATGGAATTGTCGCTGATGAAGGTATCGATGTAAAGGCTGCAAACTATATTTCCTCCACTCTAGCACGGTTCAAAAGTTTGAATGAGTTAACTCCGACAGAAATACTGTCTCCTCCGTTGGCTCGTCGTGAGATTTAATGACTTGTTGAGTACTCGTCTTTGTATGTTTGTTTTGTTATTCTAAGTTAATAATTTAGTTGACTTGAGCATAGCTCACAAATGGAAGATTGTTTGTAATCATTACGTTGGGAACGTTTTTATAACATTGTATTTGCAACGACAGCTCCCTCCTGCATTGTGTGACGTCATGCTTGTTCAAGGCGTGTTGTCGGATGCCCCAATCATGCTTGTTCAAGACGTGTTGTCTATAGCCGCATGTTCGTTCCAAACCTCTTTTACATGCTTTCATCTTAGATAGGTCTTTACTATTTCATGTTGTGTCAATATGGAAATATATGACCGTTCACCGAAATCATGTCTACAACTATTATAGCTTTACCCGCACAAGTCCAAATCCTGTTGCTAACATTTTTGTTCTTTTTCGGGGAAAAATGATTTTTTTTTACTTCATTTTTAACTACCGTACTCCAATTTCCCGAGAACGGGGAAAAAACTACCTCATAAATTGTGATTTCTACGTACTCAAAAGTTAGAAGTTTACGACCACCATCGCAATCACACTGAATAATTTTTTCGTTAGAAATTTTGTTTACTCCCCTTTATCCTAACAAGCTTAGATCGATCGATCAACAACGTAAACTAAAAACACGATCGAGGAAGCCATGAGATTTTCAGTATATTGGATCGGAGGTGAAGTCGAGCATTTGAATGCATATCATATTCTTGTATAGTGTAGATATTTCATTTCACATATCATTATGTCAAAAATTTTAACTTACAGACTGACTAGAGACACCTTTCGTTTGAACGATCTCTTGAATCTCTTCCAACGACATAATCGATGCCAAACTGTCAAATTCTGCACTCTCCAGCTGCTCGTGTAACTGCAAACACAAACGAAAAAACGAGAAACAAAAACACGAACACAACTTAATCAGATTGCAATTCGTTCATCATGTCGAAAAATATTTAGCTCTTGCTATGTGAGTTGAAGGCGAAAAGTATAAACCTTGTCGAGAATAGCGGACTGGTCGTCCGAGTTTAACGTGCGCATGTGTTTCAACATCTCGAGTTGCTATATGAAACGTTCATTCAGTTTCCAAGAACACAATTGCTATTCAAAAGAATTGTGGAGAAGAGTTTGGTAGTTCACCATTTTGTGTAGTTGGTGTTCATTGTTCATCTTTTCAGCAAACTCATATGGTTCAAGCTCTGCTTCATCACATGCCATCTCTTCCCTGTCATAAGTTCATTTAATCCAAAAAGAATATTTGAAAACCGAGTTCAATACGAATTGGAGACGACTTACGCTGCAACGAACTTGTAGAAACGAACCATCAGCTCGAGATCGTTCTCGTAAAATGAATTCACTTTCCCTAAGCAGGATATGCCGAATCGTGAATCTGTAGAACATAATGATCGAAGAAAGCCCGGATGTGTTGGGTTATTGGTTTATAAGCAAATAGCACAACACTACTGATAGAAAGGAAAGTTCGTTAACCATGTCCTTATCTACTCATCCCGAGCTTAGATCAATTAGATAAAGCATATACTCTCGAATAAGAGATTAGAAGTTGAATTTTCTCACTCCATATACTGAACTCAGACAACAATGCTCTCGTATTGTTTCAAAATTATTTGTAACAGCTCAAGTCCACCGCTAACAGGTATTGTCCGCTTTGGTCCGTTACATATCGCCGTCAATCTCACGATTTTAAAACGCGTCTTTCAGAGAGAAATCTCCACACCCTTAAAAAGAATGTTTCGCTCCCTTCTCCAATCGATGTGGGATCTCACAATCCACCCTCTTTGGAGGAGAGCAGCGTCCTCGCTGGCACACTACCCAGTATCTGGCTCTAATACCATTTGTAACAACCCAAGCCCACCGCTAACAGATATTGTCCGCTTTTGCCCATTACGTATCGCTATCAGCCTCACGGTTTTAAAATGCAACTTTTAGGGAGAGATTTCCACACCCTTGTAAGGAATGATTTGCTCCCCTCTCCAACCGATGTGGGATCTCACAGTCCACCTCCTTTGGGGGCCCAGCGTCCTCGACAGCACACCGCCCAGTGTCTGACTCTAATACCATTTATAAGAGTCCAAGCCCACCCACCACTAACAAATATTGTCCGCTTTGGCCCATTACGTGTAACCCTCATGATTTTACAACGCATTTTTTTGGGAGAGGTTTCCACGCCCTTATAAGGAATGTTTCATTCCCCTCTCCAACCAAGGTAGGATCTCATAATCCATCCCCTTCCTTATTAGCACACCACCCAATGTTTAGCTCTAATACCATTTGTAACAGCTCAGGCCCACCACTAATAGATATTGTCCGTTTTGGCCTATATGTATCACCATCAGCCTCACGGTTTTAAAACGCATCTTTAAGGGAGAGGTTTCCACTACTTCGTTCCCTCTCCAACCGATGTAGGATCTCACAATCCACCCTCTTTGGAGGCCAGTGTCCTCGCTAGCACACCACCCAGTGTCTAACTCTAATACCATTTGTGACAGCCCAAGCCCACCGCTAACAGATATTGTCCGCTTTGGCTCATTACGTGTCGTTGTCAGCCTCACGATTTTAAAATGCATCTTTTAGGGAGAAGTTTCCACACCCTTATAAGGAATGATTTGCTCCTCTCTCCAACCGACGTGGGATCTCACAATCCACCTCCTTTGGGGGCCCAGTGTCCTAAATAGCACACCGCTCGGTGTCTGACTCTAATACCATTTATAACAGTCCAAGCTCACCGCTAATAAATATTGTCCGCTTTGGCCCATTACGTGTCGCTGTCAGCCTCACGATTTTAAAACACGTCTTTTAACAATGTTCAAAGAAAACGGCAAAGAAACAAACAGTAATGGCCTGGAAAAGACTGACCAATTCCCATTTCAGAAAATATCTCTTCCTGAATAGCGGTTGTCACTGCTACAGCTTCCTGCAGAAGGCAACAAAAAGCTTCTCATCATCTACAGTTGCACCATCACAACTTCATACATTATTAACAAATTTATATGGTCTGTGAAACCCCGAATTAAAGAATGAACCTAAAAGTACATAACATAACAACGAAACGAAAAGGTGTAATACCCCAAGTCCACCGCTAGCAGATATTGTCTTTTTTGGGCTCTCTTTTGGGCTTTCCCTTAAGGTTTTAAAACACGCCTACTAAGGAGAGGTTTCGACACCCTTATAAGGAATGCTTCGTTTTCTTCTCCAACCAATGTGGGATCTCACAATCCTCTCGCTGACACACCGGGCGGTGTCTAGCTCTAATACCATTTGTAACAGTTCAAGCCCATGGGTAGCAGATATTGTCCTCTTGGGGCTTTCCCTTCTGGGTTTTCCTCAAGGTTTTAAAACGTGCATACTAGAGAGAGGCTTCCATACCCTTATAAGGAATGTTTCGTTCTCTTCTCCAACCAATGTGGGATCTCACAGTCCACCCCCATTGGGCCCAACGTCCTTGCTGATACACCGCCTGGTGTCTGTCTTTGATACCATTTGTAACATCCCAAGTCCACCACTAACAGATATTGTCCTCTTTGGGCTTTCTCTCAAGGTTTTAAAACACATCTACTAGGGAGAGGTTTCCACACCCTTATAAGGAATGTTTCGTTCTCTTCTCCAACCAATGCGAGATCTCACAATCCACCCCCTTGGAGCCCAGCGCTCTCGCAGCACACTGTCCGGTGTCTGGCTCTGTTACCATTTGTAATAGTCCATGCCCACCACTAGCAAATATTATCCTCTTTGGGCATTCCCTTCTGAGCTTCCCCTCAAGGTTTTAAAAAGCGTCTATTAGGGAGAGGTTTCTACACCCTTATAAACAATGTTTCATTCTCACAATCCATCTCCCTTGGAGCCCAACGTCCTTACTGACACACCGCTCAGTGTCTGGCTCTAATACCATTTGTAATAGTTCAAGCCCACCCCTATCAGATATTATTCTCTTTGGGCTTTCCCAAAGGTTCTAAAACACATCTACTAGGAAGAGGTTTCCACACCCTTATAAGAAATATTTCGTTCTCCTCTCCAACCAACGTGGGATCTCACAAAAAGGGTTAAGAACACAACAAGAACAGTGATTGATGGAGGAGGAAGATGTTAAAAAACGCATTCCTCCAAACCCAATTCCACTACAAAGTCATTCCTATCAACCAGATAGAGTTAGATAGCTGTCTAATGAGATTGAACCCTCACGGATATTACAGAACAGCTAATAACCAAACAGAACAAACCCATTTCCCCTAAACAAATGGAGGATTTGGCAGAGTGTTTATGCAACTTAATGACTGAAGTTCATCCACATAACTAGTTCCAAGTGAAAAACAATCAAACCCCATTTCAAAACAAGCAACAACAAACCATCTAAACCAAAAAATCACTAAACTATCAACAAATTTTGAAGAACATTCACCTGATTATCATCCCTAACAGCATCAGCAATCCGTTTCTTCACATCTGCAAGATCAGATGCAGAAAGAAAACGTTAATTTAGGGGAAAAATTAGGGGAAAACAGAGGAACGAGGAGAGTAAATGTTAGATTATAACCAGAGAGGGAAACGATGACAGAAAAGCGATTGAAAAGATGAAACAATTGGTCTCTAGAGAGCATGGAAGGAATAGAAGGGGTCTGGTTCATCGCCATAGCCGGAAGGAGAGGCAGAAATTGAAAAACGATGGCCCCCTAACGCGCCAAGACGAGGCGATTGATTACATTTTTGACCCTTTAGTGAATTCTAAAGGGCCCTTTTCACGATTCCCAATTGGGCCCTCTGCAAGACCTCGCCATTGATTTGAAGAACCCATTTGGCGATTGGAAGAAACATGGAATGGTTGTGGCTACTGAGGTCCTGTCTTTTAGCCACCATTAAAGCTCATTGCTATGCTGAAAATGAAATTGGTATTATTTGGGCAATGTTTTAATGTCCCTTCAAATGTCACTTTTTGTTCTTTTTTATAAAGGTTTGAGTTTCATATCATATCTGTACATAAGATAATCTATTGATTTACTTGTTAATTACCATGAATCAAGAATCTATAATTTTCTGGTTTGTTATTATGAATTAAAGAGAATCTATGATTTCTTGATTTGTTACGAAACAGATACTAATATACGTCATAATTTATAAGTTACATACTTTTAGATAGGGGTGTACACAACTTAAGTTGGGTTGGGTTAGAAAAATCTTATGGTTTAACACAAATTTTCGAGTTGGTTGGATTAGTGATCTGAACAACAAAGTTCACACCCGAACCCAACTAAAAATTAGGAAGTTGAGTTGGGTTGGGTTTTCAGGTTGTTCTTTTTTTTAATTTTTTTTTTTTAGAAAAAAAAGAACATTACTCATCCACAATAACTAAA